AGTTATACTCAGTTCTCCTGGCTGCATCCTGGACATTGCCTGCTGGTGCAGAGCAAGTGAAGGGGGGGGGGGGAGGGGCAGGTAGGGAGCAGAGGATACTAGCAGTGGGGGAGATGAGGGAAAGAGACTGCAGAGGGAAGATGGAAGTGTGCAAAGATTGGGGTGGGGGGAGGCAGGCAGCAATTGCAGCTATGGACCCAACCCTAGGTAAGGGGCTGCAGCCCAAGCCACAGCAGCCAGCTGCCCCTCCCCCCCCCCATACTCTATTCTAAGACAAGGGGCTTCTCCCCCTATGTTAAATGGGGTGGAGGAAACCTTAGAATCAAGTAAATATGGTAAATAATTCACTTGGGGGTCCATGCCTAACAAAAAATAACACTCCTTGCCATGTGAACGTGGAAAGAATTACTCTTGGCCGCTCCTGTCTGATCATCCAGAATTAACCACAGATCCAACAGAACACCCAGGTCTCCAAATGAGTATATACATACCCTCTTAATCTAGAGAGATATGTCATCTGTTCACCGGCTAAATATATGTGTAGAGCACAACTCCGCAAAGAATTTATGTGTGTCATTAACCACTTGCTAAGTAGAAATGGATTTAAGCACATGCTGAAGAGTTCTGTTGAATTCATATCAAAATTTGGTTTATTTTTGCTGTTTCTGGGATCCAAACTATGCCCATCCTCTCTCAACTGTTCCCATTAAAAAGATATAGGACTATCAGGGCACCCTGGTCCATAACACAGATGATAAAGAACAGTGCGAGTGGGGAAAACGTGTCCTTTACTGGATTGATTCCTGCAGGTTCTGAGTAACCTCTAAGAAAACACTTTAAGCATATTGATTTCATTGTGACTATTTGTCTGAATAAAAGGCGCTTAAGAACACATGAACATAAGTCTTTGTAGGGTCAATCTTGTTTTATACTTTCAGTTCTCAGTTTAGTAAACAATGTTTCCTTATCTTGATAGTAATGTTTTATGTATGTTCAATGCACATTCATTTGCTTCAACACTGAGGTTTGCTATACCATTGACTAGTCAAGTACACTTAAATTTATTTTCTGTAGTAAAACTGATTGTCTGCCCACTGTTAAAAATGCAGAATTTGTGATGAGGACAATATTTGGTAAGATCTGAATGGTTAATTCTAAACTTATCCTTCCACAAAAGAAAAACAGAGACAGAGAAGTGTAAGAGAACAACAGAATAGTATTCTTCTTGTGTAAAGTGGACAGTGTTAATTTAATTTTGTTTTATACTGCGGTATTTCTGTTACCAGTTAAATATAAAAATATACTTTTTTCCCCCTAAAGCTCAAGGAAGCCTTGGACCCTGCTCTGGAGCCTATTCTTTTGAAGCAGACCTTTGTTTCTGGTGGAAGAATGCTCATTCGCCTTGGAGATTCTGACATTGATTACGATAAAAACTTCAGGTTCTACATGATAACGAAATTACCAAATCCACACTACCTTCCAGAGGTATAATGCAGCATTCTAAACTAGTACCATACTAGCCAAATGATAATCAGTCATTCTTGGAAAGACATTATCAGCTTCAGCTGATCCAAAGTATTGCACATTTTCCCATTTCCAGGTCCCATTTCTCTCTCAGATATTTTTTATTAACATTTCAAAGTGGTGAGAAAGGGGAGAAAAACCTTTCCTTTTGTTTCTTAAGTGAATGGTTTTAGTAGGACGCCTGATGCTCCTCCTACTTTGAGAAGACAGGCTGCAGATGGAACAGTCTGCCAGGAGGCAATCAGGAGTCACATGACCCAAAAGGGGGCTGGGCTTACAAGATTGAAGCCCAGAGCCTGAGCTGGGCAGTAGTCTGATCCTGGCAGCTGGGATGTGAAAAACTACTCAACTGCAGGGCTGCAGCTAGGCTCCTGGTAGACACCTAAGGTAGGGTAAGCAAGTTGGTGGTGTGGGGATTGAGACAAGAGGAGATAAGGTGGTCTCATCTGGCCCAGAAGCAGGGCAAGGGCCCAGAAAATAGGGGCCAGGGCCAAAGAGCAGGGCCACAGCTGAATGGTCGTGAGAGCAAGGAGGGTCAGGGACCTGTAGGCAAAGTCAGAGACTCATAGCCCAGGGGGGGTGAGCAGGGACAAGGAGCCCAGAGCTCTCAACTGCCCTAGGAGAGGAGCCAGGGCACAGGAGGGGCCAGTGTCATGGACGGGCCACAGCTGGAGACTACTGGGGCTGGGGAGCCTGGAGATCTCAACTGGCCTAGGAACCAGGCCAGGGTCTAGGGCAGGGGTGGACAAAATATGGCCCATGGGCCAAATCTGGCCCAAGGCAGGTCCCTCATTCCTACACTGCCCCAGGCACAGGTACAACCCAGGCCATGGCACCCATGGCCAGCCCCACTGCCCCCAGGCAAACAGAGGGGCTGGGATGGCATGGTGGCCAGACTTGCTTCCCGGCACCCCCCTGCAGTAGGAGCTCCTTCCTGCTGCCACCACCAGCAGACCCAGCCCCGCTGCCTGGGTACCCCAGCCCATTTGCCCCCACCACTGCAGCAGGACATAAATGTGGGTAGGGAATGCAGCCAGGCAGATGGGATGGAGCTGCAAATGTGTGAGGAGCAGTGTAAGGGAGCAGGACAGGTAGATGAGGCCAGGATTATGCAGCAGGATTGCAGGGTGGTGACAGCAATCCACTGCTTGCCTGCCCAGCAACAGGTGCCGGTTCTGCAGGTAGGGGCATGCAGGGAGCAGATTGTGGTTCTGTCCCAGGCCTTGGCCTTGCACCCAAGATCCCAGACCTGGCCCTGCCCACGCGTCTTGCTCCTAAATGCAGCTTCCCATTTTCCCAGAGCCCTATCCCATCCTCTTGGCCACACGCTCTGCCATTTGTGTACCCACCAGTCTCCATGACCCTGGGATCTCTGGGTGGTGACAGTGCAGGGCCAGGGCCCAGGGCAGAGCTGCAATCCACTCCCCTTATGCCTCTGCCTGCAGAAGTAGCACCCGTTGCAGGGGCATGGAAGCTGTGGATCACAGCTCTGCCCCAGCCCTGGCCCTGTGCTGTTACTGCCTGTCCTGCCCTGGATTCTGCTCTCCACCTGCCAACAGCTGCATCCAAGCTGCCCAGCCTAGCACAAAGCAGTGCCACTTAAGGAATTTGTGGGGGGGTTAGGGTGACCCAGTGCATGATTGCTCACCAAAACTCTCTATGTGTCCCTTTGGCTCAAATAACTGCCTACCCCTAGTCTAGAGAGAGGGACTGAAGTCTGTAAGGGCCATATCCAGAGACCAACAGGATCAGGGACCCAGAGTCCAGAGAAGGCTGGACTTAGGGCCAGGGGCTCAGTACCTCAGGAGTGTTGATAGTAGGGTCAGGAACCCAGGGCCACAACCGGGAGTAGCCAAGATGGGTAAAGTGCCTGGGTGTGGGCAGAGAGAGACAGCTAGAGAGTGAATGGTAACATCTGCAAGGCATGGGCATGGTGTAAGGGGCAGTTGGAGCCATGTAATAAGCAGTGAAGGTGCTGAGTAAAGGAGACTAAGCTCAGGAGCAGATGAGATCTCGCTCAGGTATCCCAAGGGCAGCCTCCCTTTTCTAAGTAATTATTTTCATCAAGGCATGGCAGAAAAGCAGAAAGGGGAGAATGTATAAGGGACTTAAGGACATAACAGGAGCAGGGTGACCATCAGGGTGTGTCATGGCTAACCCTGGGGTCATAGCCTGTTACAGTGGTGTACAATAATCTAGCCTAGATAACTTCAGTGTCATATTTTGATCAAGATGCATCTTTTACAGTAATTGACACTTACTCCATTTCTGATCATTTACTTTGTGTATATTTTTTTGAACATTTTTATATTTATATATTTAGGTTTTATCATTTAGATCCTATGCATAGTGTAATAAGCCATAGATGAACAACATCTTGAAAGTTAGTCAGTCCAGGGACCAAATCATATTTCGGTCTGTGCATCTAAATGGTGTTTCCCCAGCCACATAAATTCTGGTTTGGGTGCTTATACACAGCTTGAAATTCAGCTCGGATCACAGAAATGTCCACTTTCCCTTACTTCTGGTAGGATAGATATTTCCCTTCTATTCTCTATTTTGCCAAATGACTATTAAATGCATGTTGTTATGGGTCAGCTTCAAAAGGAGGGTAGGAGAGAGGTATGGAATGCCAAAAACGTTCATTACACTGTGGCACATGTGCCACCTATGTTCTTAAAGTGAAATGGGATTCTGCCCTCAATATTTAAGGTTAGTCAAGTTGAAGAGCAACACTATAACTATACATGGGCTAGGGCGTAGGCAGACTTCTAATCTTGGGTCTCATGTGACTTGAAGCTTGGCAAGTCACCTAACTTCTCTGAGCCTGTGTTGATTTTATAATTTTTTAAAAAAGTGCTCCTGTTCCAATAGACTGCATGGTCTGAAGTCCCTAGAACAGGAACAACAGCCAGGTATTTAGAAGTTCCAGCCTGGAAACATGATGCATTTCAAATAGCATCTTTTATACTGTTTTTGTACACTCCTGTAAATTTCACGAGATGCTGAGCAAATGGACTGCCATCTATTCCTTAGTAAATACTTGTAGTAGGTGCTATTTTATAGTTCCTTGCCAATAGCTGGTGGATAAATAAGTAATAGTCTGTTTACCTATACCATACTGCTACTCTAGGATAGTTCCAGACATACAATACTTACACCAGTATAATGCACAATGATACATTATGCTTGATTTTTCTTAGGAAAATTATACACTCCAAGTTGCACCATATGTCATGTGTCTGTTTTGTGTTTACACCACTGTATATGTAGCACATATCCAAGTCTTTTGGTCTATTAAAGCTTGGGTGCCATTGACCTTTATCATTCTTTTTACCTATACAATATTTTAAAGATGTGTTTCTTATGCATTCCACCCCCCTGTGAAATAGGTGACTATATCAGTTTTAAGTGACTGCAGGCTGACTTTCAGAATTGCTGAGCATCGCAACACAAACTGGGAATTATAGTTACTTGGGTCTGAAAATCACAACTTGTATGTTTAGATCAGTTTATTGGACTAGACACATAACCGCACAAACCTGCACACCACATCCATATTTAAGATTACTGCTTAAAAGTTAATACTGTTGCTTCCTATGAATACACCAGACTTTGAATTTTCAGGACCTTCACTTTTGGCATTAAAAAATCTTCCCTACTTCCAGCTCCCTTACTAGTCATTGCAGACTAAATATGTGTAAGATTCCAAAGTCTTAGCCTTTTGGGAGTTATGTAACATGAAACAATAATGAGGACAATTATTTTACAAAGTGAAAAATTACTTTTTCATCCTTTCTTCACTTCAGAAGTTTCCTCAAACTTTGCCAATAAATTATTTTTGGACAGAGCCCACCCATATAAACTTTCAGCCTAAATGGGAAGTTTTTTAACAACCGCAAATTAGAGTTTTGATGAGGAATGGTTTCTCAGGTAGACCATATCTTCACGCTGGGTTGCACTCTTATTCATAGCAAATCCTCTGATTTTCTTGTATTAACCTACACACGTGTAATGTTTAGTCATTGACTGTGTTCATTCTACAGGTGTGCATCAAGGTCACTATAATCAATTTCACTGTAACCAGATCTGGCCTTGAGGATCAGCTGTTAAGGTCTGTAATTTTTATTTTTGCTATTTATCCTATGGTAGCTGGTTTCAAAATGTTAAGATGATGGAAGCATAAAATGAACCAAAAAACAGAGCAGTTTTCTTTCTATAACATACCATGTCACAATCATAAATAATATAAAGAGCATGCAATTCTTGGCTCAATAAGCTGTCTTTCTGTCACATCCTATACTCAGATTTGTAGTATTTTAATTGTACTAGGAATCATTCACTGTATTTCCTTGAATATAAGACAACACTGAATTTATGACAACCCTCAATAATTAGATTCTATTCATGGAAAATTTATGCATTTGTTGTAATATTCCATGTATAGAATCTAATTATTGGAGGCTTATTTTAAATCTGTCTCCTGCACCATTGCAGGCAGTGCTGGGGGACAGGTTGAGGGGGGCAGTAATGGAGCAGGTAGTGGGGGTGGTACGCAGTAGAGCAGGCAGTGGGGGGCAGGCAGTAAGACAGTGGTCACCAACTGGTGGATCACGATCTACCAGTTGATCGGGGAGCCCTTGACAGTTGATTTCAGTCTGGGGGGTTGCTAAGCCCCCGCCAGACTGAGATTGACTGTCAGAGGCACCATGATTGGGAGCAGCAGGATGTGTGAGTGGCAGGACACACATGGCTAGGATAAGCCACGCCCCCTGCCACCAGGTGAGTGGGGCCCCAGCCAGACGGGCCGAGTGAGGGTCAGAGCCTGGGTGGCTTGTCTAGGCGCTCATGGGGGCTCCCACTGCTGCACGCACCCTGGCGGGGGCCCCAAAAGTCATGTACCCCCAATCTGTGTGTGGGGTGAGGCACCTGCTGCTGTGGGCTGAACTTTGTGCCTGGAGCCCCACTGCAGCTGGCCCAGGAGTGGCCCAATGCAATGTGCGTCCTGCTGCTAGGCAGGCAGGGGATGAGGCTCAGCCCATCAGCAAGAGGCATGTAGCATCAAGCCGCTCCTGGGCCAGCTGCAGCAGGGCTTGGGACTCAAAGCCCAGCCCACAACTGCAGCTGCCTCTGTCACACACAGATCGGGGGGCATGTGCTCCCCACCCCCAAACACCAGGCAGTATGGATGGCTGCAGCAGCAGTGAGAGAGGGAGTGTGGCTAGAGCAGGGGCAGGCCCTGTATGGGCAGGACATGGGGGGCATGCAGCGTGGGAGGGAATGGGGACGGTGTCCCCGGAGCTGCATGCTCACCAGTTCGGCGGCTGCTGCAGGCTGGGGCCGGGGTGGCACTGGACTCTTTCCAGGGGGCTTGCCAAATCTGCACCACAAGCCAGGACCTGTTTGTGCCACAGGCCCTGGCTGCCCTGCGTGCTGGACAAAAGACACCATTACTGAGCACCACTGCTGTTCCACTGCTGCTTTATTGCTCTGAGCTGCCAGTCCCGAACTGGTGGCAACCTGTGTCAGCCACACGGTGCTGGGGATGGAGGCGGGACTGGAGTGCGGCAGCTGCCTGGGAGTGCCGCCGCCCAGCCTGAGCTGCCACTCCTTGTCAGCTGCCCCACTCCAGTCCTGCTTCCATCCCCAGCGCCACATGGCTGACACAGGCTGCCCCCAGTTCAGGACCAGCAGCTCAAAGCAATAAGGCAGCAGTGGGACAGCAGCAGTGCTTGACAGTGGTGTCTATTATCTGGCATACAGCAGCAGCTGGCCTCCTGGGCCGCATGCCTCCCCTCCCCATGCCCCCCAGACAAACCTCTCACGGCTCTGTCCTGTGACCCACCTGTGCAGGACCTGCCCCTGATCCAACTACACTCCCTCTCTCACTGCCATGGGGTGGGAGCAGATCGAGGCCCCAGTGGTGAGGGAGGGATGGGGCACAGGCAGGAGTGGAGCTGGGGGGAGTAGGGGACAAGTAGAGGCCTGGGGGGCACATGCTCCCTGGGCCTCCATTTGTCCCACCACCTGCCCTGGCCAGGGCTACACTCACTGCAGACCCTGCTCCTGCCTATGCCCGGCTCCCTTCCTCATGGCTGGGGCCTCAATCTGCCCCCACCCCCACAACCCTTTCCCCTCCCCTTGCCCCTTCCCCCACAGACTTACCTGCTGGGGGTGTGTGCACCCAATAATTTTTTCTCCCTTTGCCTTGAACTGACCCTTCCTTCCCTCCCCACAGACTGACCTGCAGGCTGGGAAAGGGGGAGGTGGGATGGCAGCACACAGTGGATCTTGGGTTGCTTTTTAATTCAGAAAGTGATCTCTGACTTAAAAAGATTAGAGACCACTGCAGTAAGAGGTTAGGCTGTGGGGAAGCAGGCCATTTGCCTCCTGCCATTTGTCCCCTCCCCCCACTTATCCCCCTTGTGCCTGCCCCTCACAGACTTAGGCCTCCACCCCTTTGCCCCCTCTGTGATGCTTATTGCCCCCCACAGCATTGGGTCCCTGCCCCCCTTCCCTTCTCCAACCTCACTTTTCCCTCTGCAATCTCAGGCCCCCACCCCCTTCCCACCTCCATGCCACTTCTGGCCCCCCACAGCCTTGGGTCCCTGCCACAGGCAACTGGTAGGGCAGGAATAGGAGGGCACGTGCCCCCCCCCCCGAAACTGTCCCCCGACTTGGCACCGTTTAGGGCGGGGCAGGTTTTTTGCCATGCAGGCTAGCTGCGTTTTGGGCAGGGGGGCCACTAAGCCACGGCACAGAAGTATAGGAGTGGATATAGGGAGCAGCCAGGAGCCCAGGGCTAGCGGGGGCAGGTTCTCCCCTCATCTCAGTGTCTCTGGGACCCTTCTCAGCCCCAGGATGTGGCCCTGGCTGCTCTGCTAAGGGGAAGCAAGTTCTGGCTGGAGCCTGGCCCTGGGAGTAGGGTGTGGGAGGCTGGGACTCAGAGCCCAGGGAGTGGGGGGTAAGCAACACCTTCCTTGGCATGGCCCACGCTGGGAAGAGCAGAGTGCCTCAGAGCAGTGTTCCTTCAGCCCGGGTGTGGGGCAGGCGCAGTCTGGGCAGCCCCGGAGCAGGGTTGGGTCCCAGCTGGTCCATGTCTCCCGCTTGGGGGGTGGGGCACTCAGAGCAGCAGTGTGGGACCCAGTGGTAAGATGAGAGACTTTAACATGGAGGGAAGGGGTCCGTGTTTTAATTGAGTAAATATGGTGTATAAAACTCAGGATATGTATGTCAATTCTACCACCATGTCAAATAGGCTAGTTTTAAATGCCATTACGTACTGCCCATAATGAGCACAAAACATACCA